TCAAGCAAACCCTGAGGCCATATAGGGTTTCTCTCCCCCTGGGATAGAACAGAGAGCATTAATCTGGGGCTGTGTTCTTGGGAGAGGTTCCTGGCTCAGAGAGATCTGTCTTTCTGGGGCCCAGCCCTGAGCTCTCCATTGTCTGTCCTGGGCTTACCGCCCTATGTGTCATGTGTGTCAGAGCAGGAAGCATTTGTAGACTGTGAGCCTGTTAAGTGACTTCCATTTCTTCCCCCATTGTACCCTGCCCCTGGGAAAATGCCCACTCAGCTCTTTTTTGAGTTTCTGGGGTGGGGAAGAGGAGTTAAGGGTTGAGAGTGAGGGCAAATCTCCTGACTCTGCTCCCAGAAGACCGGAGGCTTCCCTAACCCCTTCTCATGCTTCAGCTAGGAGGAGTGTGGGAGTGGCCAGTCCGTGGGGTTCTAGGGTCTGCTTGGCCTTTGCAGGGCAGTTAAAGATCTAGTCCATCGAGGCAGCTACAGAGGAGAGGTATGCAAGTGTGCCTCAGAGTTAATGTGGCTACGTGAAGGGGCAACGGGCTGTGAGAGTCTTTGTATTTGGTTGATACAAGACTCCTGGCTTTCATAAAAGAGGAAAAACAAGTTGGAGTGGTGGTACATACTGTCATCTCTATGCTGAGGAAGCAGAGACAGAGGCAGCCTTGAAAGTTCCAGGCCCATCCTGGCTACATGGAAAGACCTGGTTTCAAAAACCAACCAACCAACATAAGCAAACAAGCAACAACAAAAAAATCAGAGAAAGAAAAAAAGGAAGAAAGGAAGGAAGGGAGAGAGGAAGGAAGGAGAGAAAAGGTTAAAGTGGTCTGTTCTGAGTAGTCAGTAGCTTAGCCAGGGAAAGGTGAGGCCAAGGAGAAGAGCCATGGGCATCTATTCAGAGCCTTTGGCATGTTAAGGTTGGGAGTGAATCCTATGCTCGGAGAGAAGTGTGTGAGGACAGGAGTGTGACCAGGATGCCTGGAACCAGGCTCACTGCTGCCTGACCTCCTATCAGCTAATACTGTCCTGCACCTACAGGTGCATTGCTTCCAGAGTCTTGGATTTGAAACTTATGATTCAAAGGAGAACTCAGATAAAGATAGGCAGAAGTTCTCCAAAAAGTTTATTATTATTACTATTATTATTATTAAGACAGGGTTTCTCTGTGTATCCCTGCTGTCATGGAACTCACTCTGTAACCCATGCTGGCCTCAAATTCAGAGATCTGCCTGCCTCTGCCTTCTGAGTGTTGGGATTAAAGGTGTGCACCACCACACTGGGATTCTGAGAAATGCTTTTGACTGGTACCTGCCAACCACTCATCTATCCAACCATCCACACCCACATCTGTTCACCATTTCAACCAACAGCCCAGAAGCCCTGGCTGTATGCAACACGATGTCCATTTCTGCATGGTTGCCTTTTAGTGACTGTTGAATAAAGGGTGATGGGATTAACCAGCAAACTGCTGTTGTCTGACTGCCCAGCCTGTGCTAGGCAGTGGGGACCCCAATACAAAAGGAGTTAGACGAATCTTTGGGGGAGACTTTGATATAGATGATCATATTTATATCTCAACGACTTGGTGGCCAAATAGATGAATGTCATTGGGAGCTATAAATCAAAGCAATGACTGTCCATGGAGAAGGTGAGATGACTTCCAGTCTTGGGAGAAGGCTTGGAAACACCAGAGAGTGTCACACAGGAGATGGTATTTACGGGTCAGAGTGCCAGAGAGGGGTAAATGTTGTAATTTAAACAGCAGCACGAGAAAGAAAAAAACTGTGCAACAGAGCTCATGTGGAGGTTTTTTTCTTCCTCTTTTTTGATTAGGGGAAAGGGAATGAGAAAAGGAGGGAGGGGAAGGGGGAGACCAGCCCCTGCGGACAGGAACAGCAGAAGAGAAAAGAGGGTTGGGGGAGACAGAGAGGCAGAGAAGCAGAGAGAGGAGGGTGGGGGTGGGCAGGGCACTTTAAAAAGGGAACATAGTGAATGTGCACAGGTGGTGCTCTTAGTGGCTGCAGCTGAGGACATATTTTGTCAGGACCCCAAGGGCAGGCCAGTAAAAATGCCTGAATATTAGCAATAAGTGCTCTCCCAGCAGGACTCTCAGGACTCCCAGGGAAGCCTCTTGTTCAGAAAATCTGTGGATGGGCTTCACTGTGCTGAACCCCAATGCTGGATCTCCTTTAGGCCTCTTTGGGTAGTTTTTGAGTACACCCCTTTCTCCAAGAAGTACCCTGATAGGTGACAGTGTCTCTCCCATCTCCTGGAGGTCTTCCCCCCTTGTTTGATGCAGGGGGCTCAGGGGAATAGGGCTTCCCTTGGCAGTGCAGCCTGTGAATATTCTTTCTGTGTTGGCTTGCGGGAGGCCGCAGGCACAGACAGCTTAAGACAGATGAGGCTGATGTAGAAGAAGGTGTAGCCTGAGTGTGGAATATAACTTGGGGAGTCCTGGGGACAGATGTATTACCCACAGGCATCCTGCTTTGGGCCTCAGTACCCTCTCCCCTTCTCTGCAGCTGTCACCTGGAGCCTGTGACTGCTTTGTCTCTTTTCCACTCTTGTTCACTCTCTGGATTAAGAGGTTCCTTGTCACCCCCTTGTCTCCTGACAGAAGCGTTCCTTGTTCTTCACAGTATTTCTTCAACATTCTCAATGCAATCTATATGCTAGGGGCCTTGGGTGACTGTTTCTAATCTCTTTAGACGACTTCCAGTGACCATGGCCGCTGGAGTCCTTCCTACCACACTCACATCCCCCATGTTCGGTCCAATTGAACCCCTCCTTCTTTAGTAGAGAGAGGTCCTTACAAACAATTCACGGAAAAATAATTGTAGATTTTTCTCTTAACTCTCTTCTCCAGGTTAAATGATTGCATTAAGATTTTTCTACCTCCCCCTTCCTTTCTTGTTTCAACCATGTGGCTAATAAGTTGCTAAGGTCTTTCCAGAACTTCCTGAGAGGGCAACTGTTGTTGAGGAACTCCTCAGGGGCAAGGTCTGGTAGGATACTAGACTCAGCACACGTTGAATCACAGGAGTCTCGCCAGGGCAGTCTCCAGCTCACTGCAGGGGCATTAACACAGGGAAACTTCTAATGCTTTTTGTGCATCTCTCTCAGCTCATCCCTGCAGGAGGCGGTGGAAGCCAGCTTTGCAAAGACAAGACAAAAAGAAGGCGGGTGAAGCGGCTCTCACCTGTTCCCCCGATCCCTGCAGTCTGTCTTCTACACAGCAGCCAGAAGGAATCCTTCAATGCCAGCTCATGCCTTACTCATGCCTCTTTGGTTTAACCTCAGTGGCTCCCCTCTCAGTGAAAAAGCCAGCTTGGTGTGGCCCTGTGTGACCTGCCTCCCAGCTACTCAGACCTCATTTTAGAAGCCTGTCACCCACTCTCATGGCTTCAGCCATTGGCCCTCCAGACACTCTTCACCTCATGGCACTTGTGGGTTTCTGTTTTGGGGCCCCTTTCTTCCAGATGCCTGCATGCTTGCTCCTCATTGAATTTACTGGACAGGTCCACAAGACAACTCCATGAAGTGGTCCCCTTACCATGCTTCTCCCTTTGTATTTGTAGATTTATTTGTGTGTATGAGTATTTTGCCTACATGTGTGTGTGGGTACCATGTAAACTCCTGGTGCCATGTAGATCAGATGAAGGGGGAAGGATCATTTGAATGGGGCCATGGATGGCCATGAGCCACCATGTGGTGCTGGAAACTGAACCTGCATCCTCTGCAAGGGCAGTAGGTGCTCTTTACCATGGACCGTTTCTCCAAACCAGCCTTTTATTGCTACACCTCTTCCATAGCTCCTCCTCCTCCTCTTTTCTTTTCCTTCTTCCCCCTCTTCCTTTCACTGATCTTCCTTCTCCTCATCTTCCCCTTCCTACTCTTCCTCTTCCACCTTCCTTTTGAGACAAGGTTTTGCTATGTAGTCCATCCTGACCTAGAACTCATGACCCTCCTATTTCAGCCTCTCAAGGGGGCTTCCCTGCCTTGCTCTTCCATAGCATCTCTACTTCCTGGTGGATGTATCACATGTATTTGTTTACTGTCTGTACCCCACTGGTGCATAAACTTACATAAGTAGGGTTTTCCTATGTTTTGGCCCTGAATTGTTATTTTTTGTTGTTGCTGAATTATGTTTCCTGTTTCTGGGACTTGGGTTGACAAGATAAGAAGCATTAGAGAAACCCTGAGATGATGTCTGTAAGTACACATGGTTTCTTTGAGAAGTAGGTAAAACAAATGAATATTTGGAGTGTTGTGTTTTGCTAATGTCTGATCAATGCAGAGATCAGTCAGCTTTGAATTGTTTTTCTTTATAAGGTTGTCACAAGCCACACAGCTACTGGTTTCCTGCACTGAGGCTGGGAAGGAGGGAGAGCCCAGGGAGCAGTTGATGCTGTTTCCTAGCTTTGGCTTTAGGAAAGGGGAGCGACAGGGCCAGTATTTTGCTTCCAAGTTCAGCACAAAGCCAGGCACACTGTGCCCCCATAACAATCGTGTTCTGACTGGAGTAAACCGTGTCACTGTTTGTGGATACCATCCTCCAGGGTTGTGAGTGGGCTCTACCATCTCCCTTACCCAGGAAGCCAGAGCATTCACCACTATTTCACTTCACTTTTCGGGAACTGAGTTCTACTCTGGTGGGTAGACAGACTAAAGCCGATTCCCTGGCTACCGGTCAAGTGCCTCTTAACTCCTCAAACTGAGGAGTAGTGTGCATGGGGGGTGGAGCACTGCCAGGCAAGCCTGCCACTTGAACATCAGCTCATCTTCAAGGTGTGCTTGGTGGCTCAGAGCTAATTTACTGCCTTTTGGTAAAGCCCAGCTCACAAGCTTTTGGGATTAGTTGTCTCCTTCCCTTGAGGCCCGCAGCTTGGTCAAATGCATATAAAGGGATTCATTCTCCCTGGGTCTTTACTCCTCTGCATTCTTCTGCCGACTCTTAGTGTCTCTGCTTGCGTTGCTCGGTTTTCTGTCACCAGGCTCCTCGCCATGAGCAGACAAGTCTGTAAGACACCTGGCGGTGGGAGCCAGGGCTTCTCTAGCTGGTCAGCTGTGGCATTCGGCAGCGCCATAAAGAACTATGTAGCGCGCTCTGGGGCAGCCAGTGTAAGGGCTTATGGGATCCGGAGTGGAGTACCTGTCTTTGGCAGTAGAACCTTCTACAGCCTGGGTCGCAGTAGTCCCATCTCTACCAGTGTGGCAGCTGGTGGCTCCAAGATTGGTAGATTTGGTGCACTTCTGGGAAGCTACAGCACTGGCTCTGGGGATGGCTTTGGTGGTGGCAGAGGAACTGCAGGCGGCATTGGGAGAACTGGTGGCTTTGGATTGGCTGGTGTCTTCAATAGGCCTATAACCTTTGGCTCTGGGGCAATCCAGGAAGTGACCGTTAGCAAGAGCCTCCTGCAGCCCATCAGTGAGGAGACTGATACCCAGACTGTGGAAAGGAAGGTCAAAGGGTATGAACTGGTCAAGACTCTCAATGACAAGCTCGCCTCCTTCCTTGACAAGGTAATGAAGCTCTGACTCCCATTTCTGTACAAGAGACTTTGAGTTTGACATTTAGACACTGTTTAAATGTGTCTGCATGGGCCAGACTAGAGGGTGAGGGTCTAGGCAGAGCTCTAGGGCTTGGGAGGATATTCAGGGCTGATGCTCTTGCTGCTTTAGTCGGGTAGGATGTGCACATGTGTGGAAAGACCCAAATATCACCCTGTGCTTCTTGTCTGAACCTCTGCTCAAGTCTCCCACCTGGAGCCTTATGTATGTCTGGGCCTGCAGAGCTGGAGTCCAGGCATCACCAGTCAAGAAGGGTCTGACCTAGAGCCAGAGCACTGGGGACGTAAGCTGCCCTTCGGGATTTTCATGATGTCCTTTCCCTTTGTACTGCTGTGCCAGCAAACTGGGATTTAGAGAGTTCTAAGTTGACCCCTAGTCTCAGGGAGTTGTGGGAAGTTGATGCCCTTTGCACCACTACTCAAGCTCGTATAGAAGGCTGTGTTCCACTTTGTGGCTCTCTCTAGTGTGGTGTAGCATATTTGGGGCTGCTTCACCTCTAAGCTGAAGAGGAGTGGCATTGTGCAAATGGACATGTCATTTAGGGGAAGTTCTCAATGCCTGGTGGCCTGGGAGGCTGCAGTGACCATGGATTCTGTGATAAAAACACTGCTGCAGAGGGAGTTTGCAGAGTGCTCTGTATTTTGGGGGTCAGGATCATGCTAAAGTCCCCAGAACATCCAGGAGTTCCCTTTATAGTCCTGTTGCTTGTGTGTAGGGATGCTTCCTCTGTGATTTTTCCAAACTGTGTTTTACCTTCAGTGTCCTGGTTGATGGACTGCCTGCCTATAGTTTGTGCAGCTACAGGAAGAGCCCAGCTTTATATCTGCCTTTGAGCAGGTGGAGCATGAGCTAGCTGCCTTTACCTCCACTAACTAATGAAGGCCCTCCATGGTTCTACAATGCTGCCTAACGTTGCTGCCCCATTGTCCTGTAGGCTTGCTTTGTGGAGTGTCAGAACAAGACCCTGGAGTCCATATGGGCGCTGCTCCAGCAGCAGGATCCCAGTTCCATCACCAGCATCAACAGCCTTGACTCTCGTTTTGAGAGCTTCATCAGTTCTCTGCAAGCTGAATTGGATGACATCACTTTGGAGAGAGGCCGCCTGGATTCAGAGCTGAGAAATGTGCAGGGCACAGTGGCAGACTACAAAAAGAAGTGAGTGACAAGTGGGAATAAGTTGCTACCCTCACTCCTCCCAGAGTCTTGGTACTGCCTGAGTTCTTTCTGACTACTGTGTAATGGTGTTACCTAGCCTGTTTCCCTTCTCTTACTTTCACGGGGACAGTAGGGTTCACTAGTCCCCTGCCCACTTCCTTCTCCAAGCATAGATATAGTCTAGACAGAGAACTGGTTTCAAGAGAGATAGATTTATTAGAGATGAAGCACTTCCTCATGAGCCAGGTTGGGGAAGATCTCGGTTCTAGGATGTGAAAGATTTTGAGGCAGCTCCTGGGGTGCTAACTTGTAGATCTGGATGTTTGCCCTGGACTGGGGGGTTTTCTGGAATGCAGAACTTTCAGTGCTAAAACCAGGACAGTTTTTCTGGGAAGACCGGTGTGACTGGGTCCTCTAACTAACGCACAGAAGCAGTAAAGCGGAGGCCTCAGCTGAAAGGTCAGGCTGGGTCGGGACAGAGAGCAGTGGAGTTTATGACTATGTCAAAGTTAAGCCCAGAGGCTGATGGCTCAGCCAGTAAAACACTTGCCATGCAAACATGAGGACTTGAGCTTGGATTCCCCAGAAGTCACATAAAAGCCAGTGACATGTGTTTATAATACCAGTGATCTTATGGTGACATGAGAGGTGGAGAGTGGTGAATGCCTGGAAACTCATGGGTCAGCTTACCTGGTATACACAGTTGCAAACAAAAAGAGACCCCATGTCATACAAGGTTTAAAGCAAAGACGGGTCAAGGTTGTCCTCTGACCTCCACATGTGTGCTGTGGCATATGCATGCCTTCCCCCACATGGTAATCCCCCTACAACAAAGCAAAACCATCCCAAACAAAAGAGATGTAGCAAGTTCACTTTTATGTTCACAGATACGGGGATGAAATCAACAAACGAATAGCTGCTGAGAATTACTCTGTGATGCTGAAGAAGGTAGGGACTACTGAGAACTTACTGGGTCCTAGCTAGACGGCAGGACCTGCTTGCTTTACTATCAGGCTCAAACCACTGGAGTAGACAGAAGCAGCCAGGAGCTTATTTTGAAGGCTTTTAGGAACCAGTGTGTTGGTCTTGAGCTTTTGAGGACTGAAATTATTCCAGTCCTGTGAGATATGTAGAGTTCACATTTGAACGAGAACCGTCTGCTCTGGCATAGATGGGTCTTCCCACCCTCTCCAAGTCTAATTGTTGCAGTTGCAGCTTGTTTTTTCTCCTTGGGGGTAATAAGGCCTATGTGTTCCTGCTTCTCAGAATGTGGACTCTACCCACCTGGTCAAGATGAAGCTTCAGGCCAATGTGGATACTCTGATAAAAGAAACCAACTTTCTGAGGGACCTCTTTGAGGTGAGCATGCAGGAGAGGGGGTGATGCTTTCAGATGTGAGACTGGTACTTTTGGTACCTGGGCCCTGGGTGACTGTCTGGATGAGCCTAGAGATGAAGCCTCTTGTAGCAGCAGAGTGGGCTGCAGACAGGGGCTCTCTGAATGTCTGGGACAGGCTGGGACACATGCATATCCTGAGCTAAGGGTCAGCGAGTGAGACTGATGTTTAGGAGGCGGTTGTTCCAATGGCTCTGAAAGTGAGACAGCCTCTTCTGTGTTGGCAGGAAATGTCCCAGTTACAGAACCATGTCAATGACCTCTCCATGGGCAATAATCATAGCCTAAACTTGCAAAGCATCATTTCTGGGACCCACACACAGTTTGAAGAGATAGCCCAGAGGAACAAGTTAGTGGCTGAGTTGCTGTACAAGACCAAGGTGGGTATCAGGTACCTCCTCTGGGCTTCACTAAGAGTCAAAGAAACTATGGCCTGTGACACAGCTATGGAGGGGGTTTCTGGATGAACCTGTATTTGTCTGTTTTCTGGAGTCATCCAACCGGTGGCCATTTGTTGTATGAAGTTTTATACTATCTCCTCTCAGGCTCTATGGGGCCGCTTCTAGCTTGCTCAGGGACTACAAGTGGAAGAATCTTCTAGTCCAATAGCTCAAATGTCTTCTTCCTTGTCACTTTGGAGATGACTCTGCTTGGCTCACTAAAATGATATTGAATATTGATACTGAATAAATGCTTACTGGCATCTCAAAGTTTTGTGGGTGGCATGGGTATAGAAACTGATTAGTCATTGTTATATTTAGCATTCTATTTTCCCTTCTACTGTCTAGTTGGGGGAGCTCCAGACCATGGCTGGCAGGCATGAAGATGACCTGAGGAGCAGCGTCAAAGAGCAGATAGCAGAGATCAACAGGATTATCCAAACTTTGCAGGCAGAGGTGGAGAATGCCAAGAAGCAGGTGGGATGACTTGGATGCTATTGCCTGGGCTCATTGTTGCTGGGGGCGGGGCACCTCAGGACTCATAACAAAGAAGGGACTTTTGAAGGCAGATGATATCTGGGAAGCTCAAAGACTAAGTCTATCTAGAAGGCTGGCTAACTGAGAGAAAACATCTCCGTGGACAGAGAAGATAAAGATAACTAGGGGAAGGGTGTCCTTCCTCGACTTTAAGATAGTCCATTCTAAGTTGCAGAGAGCCTGGGACCACCCTATTGAGCTCATTCCACCCGCTCCCCATTAAACCCAGAGGGAAAAGCTGGAGAGGGCCATCATGAAAACTGAGCAGCGCGGTGAGACAGCCATCGGGTATGCCAATACCAAACTTCAAGACTCAGAGGCTGCCCTGAAGAAGGGCAAAGATGACTTGGATGGTCTGCTGAGAGACTACCAGCAACTGTCAGAAATCACGATGACCTTGGATATGGAGATCTCTGCCTACCACCAGCTGCTGGAGGGTGCTGAGTACAGGTGAGCTTCGTTTCATCTTCCTGATCTATGTCATAGTCTGAGGACCACACAAACAACCAAGTAAGCAGCAATAGAAGCCCAGCACAAAGACTTCTTCTCTAGGCTTATGTCTTCGCCAGTCTACTCCCTCCACCATAGCTGAACTGGACATGCAGCCAGTGTGTACAGCTTTTTTGCTATTGATGTGATGAAGCCTTCCAGGCTATTGAGTTCAGTTATAGTAACTAGTTACCACCTTATCCCGTGGCCTTGTTGCAGACTGCTTTGTGTTGGAACAATCTCTTTTTTTTTCTTTCTCAAACAGGATGTCTGGAGGGTACCAGAGTGCCGTCAGTATCTGTAAGTAGCCCAAGTCATCACAATGAAGGCCGGTTTTCAAATATCTGCACTAATACACCAACCAAGTAGCAACTAATTTAGAAAGGTTACTGTCTTTGTTAGGGTTACCATTGCTGTGATGAAACACCATGCGTGATCAAAGCAAGTTGAGGAGAGAAAGGTTTATTTGACTTGCACTCCACATCATAGGCCTGACTGAAGGAAGTCAGGGCAGGAACTCAAGCAGGGCAGGAACCTGGAGGCAGGAGTCAGTGCAGAGGCCATGAAGGGGTGCTGCTCACCGGTTTGCTCTTCATGGCTTGCTCAGCATGGATGGTCCCACCAACAATGGGCTGGGCTCCCTGCCATCAATCACTAATTGAGAACATGGCCCACAGGCTTGCCTTCAGCCTGATCTTATGTAGGTATTTTCTCAATTGAGGTTCCCTCCTTTTAGATGACTCTAGCTTGTGTTAAGCTGACAATAAATCCAGCCAGCACAGTTCCTATGGAAGTGACTGGGACATTCTGGTGATGGTCATTGGATTGGCTTCTCTCATTGTTCTGGGTTTAGATCTCACATATATATTTATGATTTTTTTTATTGTATGTATGTCTCTCTATGTATGCACGTGCCTGAGTGAAAGCCAGAGAACAGCTTGTGGGAGTCATGTCTTCCCCGTCATGTGGAATCTTGGGCTAACAGACTTGCTAGGAAACTGTTTTTCTTCCTGAGCCATCTCAAATGGCCAGTGGGGAAAATTTCAGACACTGGGTAACCATTGCAGGGTGTCATCAAGGACTGACTATATTGGACTGGGGTTGTGGCTCAGTGGTAGAATTCTCATCCAGCATGGGCAAGGCCCTGGGTTCGATTCTGAACAGCACAAAGGAAGTATAGAGTTGATGGCAGGGTATGACAATGCACACCTTCAAGCTGAGTACTTGGGAGCCAGAGACAGGTAGACCTTGCTGAGTTCAAGGTCAGTCAGTGAGATCCTGTCTCAAAACCAAACAAACAGTTGTGTTGGTGGCATATAGAAGGAACCATTTTGTTATTTGAATTGACTTGCTGTGTGGAGTTAATAGCTGATGTCACTAGAATGTCTCCTAGTTAATGCCAAGTGCACAGCTATCCTGATCACTGCCGATCTCCCTGGGTCTGATGGCTCACTATTTATAATTCGGTGGAGTGGATGTCAGGGTGACGGTTGCTGTCCTGGTTTCCCCACAGCTGTAGTCAACAACAGCAGCAGTAGCGCCTTGGCCCTGTCAAGTGGTTACAGAAGTGGCTTTGGTGTTGGACATGGCACAGGAAGTGACGTTCGCCTGGCAAGCAGCAGTGGCAGCAGATTTGGCAGTGGGTTTGGTGGCAGTAGTTTTAGTGGTGGAAGCAGCTTTGGCCGTGGTTCCAGGGGTAGTCATGGAGTCCGTGGTGGAGGTGTCATCTCAGGCAGCAATGGGGGTGGCAGTGTCAATCTCTCTCAGTCTTCCAGGGACAACTCCAAATAAAGAGTTTGCCAGCACCCCGGCCACCCCAGAGCACCTCTCTTCCTCACCTGCCCCCCCACTAATCAGTGTCACCCCCAGCAGTCTGCTCTTTTCCGAAGAGGACAGTTTCTTGGGGCTGGAAGGCTGGAAGCCTTGGCTCTTCTATCAGATTCCTGGTGGAGCTCTACATGAAGATTTCAAGCCTCCTTCTCCCGGTGCCAATCTGTGCCTGTAATTGCTTTGGTGTGACCTCAGCTGCCATCTTCTACTTCCCTTGGTGGAAGTGATGGAAATATACACAGTCACCGACCTATCTGTTTGCATGTCAATAAACAGCATTGTGTCTTATGTCAGCTCTTGGAGCAATCTCTGCACCCTTTTCTCCAGGGGCTCATCTGGTCCCCTCTCTGGGCTCTCTGTTTTTGTCTCTCCTTTTGGGCTTTGTAGAGCAACTACAGAACTCTAGCTCTGAACCAAGTCATTGACTCAATGTCCACTGAGTGTAACCCAAAGGGCAGGCACTGGCTAATTTATCCTTGGAGCCCTGTGGGGAGCGCTTGTGTGACCTTACCTGCTTCTTGGAGGAAGGCTGGGGCACACAGTCCACTTTCTTCTGCTTTCGTGTATGGGAACTAGGAAGGTTTTGGAAACAGTGTTTCTTCACAGGGTGCTGGTTCTCATTTCGTCTTACATCCTGAATGTTTGTCCCCTGTGAAGGTGCACAGAGGTGGACAATAAACTGTTAGAACCCCGGAGCTGCAGATTCCCGTATCTAAAAGCTCCACCATGAACACAGTGCATTGACACCCTCTGATAAAGGGTTCCTTGACTGGGTAAGCTTCTCCCTTAGGAGACCATGCTGGAGGTACACAGAAGGCCTGTGGTGAAGAAAACCTGTTAGCACTCTTCAGCCCAGATGTTCCACAGTCCCCTTCCTGTGTGCACATTGGAAGGAACTTGGGAGTGCGGATTCCAAAGTCTTTACTCTTTTTCTTTAAATGGAGGAGAGGAGCAACTAACTCACTTAGGCTCTTTGGGTATCCTGAGTCCAGGCTCCCACATCCCCACACGGTCTCTGAGTGAGATTGCCCTGGCTCCATCTGGCCATGCCCTGCTGCCTGGGCACTTAGAGCACACACAGACTACAGACAGAAACCTTAGTCAAGCCAGGCCAGGGGACTGATGTTTCCTCCTTAGGCTGACGTAGAGAGTGTCTCAGGAACGGGAAGTGGCAGATAAATAAGGAAAATCTGCAACCGAGGGCCGCAGAGAACCAGATTTCAGCTCTGTCGAGTCTGCTGCGCGGCCTGTGTCCGAGAACGTGCGGAGGGTGTCGGGGATTGACAACACAGAGACTCGTTCAACGATGTAAAGAAAACTTTAAGCAGGCCCCAAAAAGGTTCAAGAAAACTTCCTAAGAAAGGCTCCCACCAGAGAAGCTTCTGCTCTCTCCTCTCTCCTGCTGGTTCCGCTCTGACCCCAGAAACTGATCTGGGCGTGGCAGAAGAGGTGGTTAGTCTTTGGACAAGGTCGAGGTCAGGGTGGTTTCTGCGGGCAGGCCTTTTCCAGGAACTTAATGCCCCCAGGCATTGTATTGTTTTTAGTAAACATGTTTTTAGTAAACATGTTTTTAGTAAACATTGTCTTACAGCTGCCTACTCCCAGGCAGAAGGGGAAGTGGGTCTCTGCTCAAGGTCTGGTGTTCCCACAATTCACCCCTTTTTATTTTTAAATGAGGCACTCCTGGCTTAGGTCAAGTAGGGTCACCCTCCCTTTCCCGTCCTTGGGGGACCTTGAACCCCTGTCTTAGGCGGGAGGGGTCTTCCCCACAAGTTGCCCGTCGTCGGAGACACCCCAACCTTAAATCATCTGTAACCAACCTTCATGGCTATCGGGATTGCCATGGGCTAAGCTAAGCAATACTTGGTTACGGATCTCTTGCCTCTGGAACAAGGCACGTTTGTGCTCGGCATAAAGCCAGAATGCCTGCCGCCACTGCCACCATTTCCAGGACCCCCATTGACATAGCGCCTCTCCATCACCGTACCCATCACCAGATCTGGGCCATAACATTCTACCAGCCTTCGTCTGTTACAAGGGTAACCCACACGTGATTTACATTCTGTTACAAGGGTAACCCGCATGTGATTTACATTTACAATTTGATAAAGTTTACAATTGTTCCAAGATCTGCTCAGGAAAGCATTTAGAAAGTGCACTTGCACAGATACATTAGGTACAATCATTGATGTTACACATGTAGCATTATGAAAAATATGAACAATAGGCTTGTTGCACTATCCACAGAGCACCAATTTGTTCCTGTGGTGGTGCAGTTTGTTGATTTAACGTCAGCTGATTATGCGACTTGAGTCAAAGTCTCCTTTTTGTCACATTAGGACAAGTTGCATCTCTCTAGAAAAATACACTGGCCTAGTCGTGATTCCAGAAACAGGAACCATCAAGTCTGATATTTCAAGTGACCATGTCCTGTTCAATTACTGAAAAGAGGCTTTTGCCCCTCATCACAGTCCATAAGAATGTCCAAATGTTTTAAATGGGTCCTTTTTTCTCTGTTGGCTTCACGATGAAAACTCATGGGTCCGGAAGGTTGATGCAGCAGGTCTGTTGAGAAACTGGAAATCTCGAACCGACTGTTTTCTTTCTTTCTTGGGCTCTAGATTCGATGACAGCAAGGGTCAGGAACACTGATTTAGGAGATCTCACTCAAACTGGCTTAGGTAGGCTCCCATGGTCTCAGGTCCAGTTTTTCTCTGCTCCATGCCGAAGCTTTTATTCTTTTCCTACAAGAAAACACAAACATGCCCTCGACCCCAAATTAGGGTCTTCTCCACTGTTTAGTGCATGGATGTCTCCATTTGACCTGAGCAATGGTTGCTCAAGTTCCATCATGCCAGAATCTGTCTGAAGCTCATTGGCATTCACATTATAAAATTTTTAAATGAGGAGTGTATTATTTGATGAGTCATATGGGGACTGGGGACATTATTCCCCCTTTTTTATTTTCTAAAAAAAATATTTTTTTTGAACTGTTGAAGCTGGACCATAATAGTAGAAGGATTTGTCTACCCTCCTTGGTTGACTATCTAGGTAAATTGGGATTATTACTTAGATTATTTGTAGATGCCCATTAAAAAGGACATATCCATTAAATATTTCCCAAAAACTTCTGAAAATCACTCAAAGATTGTAAACTATACTGTGTCCAAATAACTTTTGAAAATTATTTGAAGTCTGTGAGCAGTCTTTCCCAATCTAACCTGTAGAGCTCTCACTAGCTGACAAGGCCTCATTTGTATCTTAAATTTTTCTGTTAAAACATTAACAGACTGGCTGGATGTTCCTTTTGGCTATATTTAAAGCAATCTAGGTAGCTTCTTAACTATTTTTGAAGGGATTTAAGTATCCTTTTAATCATATAAGCAGTTCACACTCATGCATTCACAATCACATTTCATACATATCAGTGTGGCCACACCATACATTCAGAACATACATGCATCTTTCAGTCATCCTTTTTCCCTAGGTCATGATTAGTCTGTTGCAATGAAGCTTCCTTAATTGAAATCTATGTAAAAGAACAACTCCAGCCAATCCTTGAACTAAAAGGTTAAAAAGTCCTGTATGTTCTTTATCATTCCTCCATTTGAGCTACAGTCATGGGGTACAGCCGTACCTACTCCTTGTAACTTTGTAGATGCAAGGTGGAGAGGCCAAGCTTTTGGCCAAAAGTTTTTAGCGATAACTCACAAAATAGAACTTAAATGTAAACAAAAATTTCCATTGTATATACCTTTGTCTTTTTCTTAATACCAGTACCTCTTTACTGTTACAAATTTTTTTTTCACCCTTTTTTTTTTAAGTCAGGGTTTCTCTGTATTGTTTGAGGCTGTCAGTCCAGCCTGGCCTCGAACTCACAGAGATACGCCTGCCTCTGCCTCCCCCAAGTGCTGGGATTAAAGGCGCGTGCCACCACCGCCCAGCTTGTTACCAATTTTTTTTTCTGTATTATTTGGAGGCTGTCTTGGAACTTGCTCTGTAAACCAGGCTGGCCTTGAACTCAAGAGATCTGCCTGCCTGTGTCTCCCGAGTACTGGGATTAAAGGCGTGTGCTGCCAACGCCCGGCTATTCACCCATTTTCAATCCAACTTTCAACCCAGGATGTTCCCTCATTCAAAAAGCCTTAAGATTTACACAATCCACCCTCCAATTGAGGGCAATCTCTGGGTTCCCCTTTTTCCCGACCTTAGTGTCAGGCTAAGGCCTAGAGATTTAATCCAATCCCCCCTCCAACTGAGGGCAATCTCTCAGGGTCCCCTTACTTTCCTGACCTTTGTCAGGTGAAGGCCTGGAGATTTAATCCGGTACCCCTAGCTTGGTACCCCTTTTTAACACATCCACATAGCCTTACTGGCTAGCCTTTTAGATCTCTCAGTTCCCCTTTACTTTCCTGACCTCAGTGGATCAGGCGAAAGACTGGAGATTTTTTATTTTATTTCTTATTTTACCCTTTTTTATTTCTTTTTTCTTTTTCTTTTTTCTTTTCTTTTCTTTTCTTTTCTTTTTTTTTTTTTTTTTTTTGAGACTGGTTTCTCTCTATCCTTTTGGAGGCTGTCCTGGAACTTGCTCTATAGACCAGGATGGCCTCATTCCTTCCTATCTCTGCCTCCCGAGTGTTGGGATTAAAGGCGTATGCCACCAACACCCGGCTCTCTGAATATCATAGCAAACATCCTCCCAATCTGGGACATTTAAGCCTTCCCCAGTAATGAACCATGGGCTCCCTCGTTCAATCCATTTTAAAAAGCCTGCCATGGTTGTAGTCCCCTGTTCTTCAAGCAACTTTTTTACGTGATACTGTAATTTAAACTCCCAGGGACTATTTCCCATTGTTTCTTTTCCTATTTTCCTCCATCTGTCCCTAGCTGGCAAAAGGGACGACCCCGTCCACTTACCTCTTCACGATCTCGGTAGGACCTCCAATTGTCGCGTCTGCTGCGCGGCCTGTGTCCGAGAACGTGCGGAGGGTGTCGGGGATTGACAACACAGAGACTCGTTCAACGATGTAAAGAAAACTTTAAGCAGGCCCCAAAAAGGTTCAAGAAAACTTCCTAAGAAAGGCTCCCACCAGAGAAGCTTCTGCTCTCTCCTCTCTCCTGCTGGTTCCGCTCTGACCCCAGAAACTGATCTGGGCGTGGCAGAAGAGGTGGTTAGTCTTTGGACAAGGTCGAGGTCAGGGTGGTTTCTGCGGGCAGGCCTTTTCCAGGAACTTAATGCCCCCAGGCATTGTATTGTTTTTAGTAAACATGTTTTTAGTAAACATTGT